GTTGGACTGGTAGTTGGCAGTCTTGCGGACGTATTGCCACAGACCGGTCTTTTGGCCCTTGACGACGAGTTCGGGGAAGGTGTAGTGGGCGCTGGCCGTGCTGGCGACAGCGAGGAGGGTGGTGAGGACGGAGCACTTCATGGTTGGTTACTGTGAAGAAGATGTGATGATGGGTATCTTGATGTCTATACGAAGTACCAAACCCCCCTCTATATATACGACCATCTTGCTGGCTTAGTAGTGGAGCCGTCACACATCCAGGTTACGCTATATTGCAGTACTATGCGCCCCAGACTCAGGCGTGTGGTACTTCATTTTTTCGCCGCCTTGCGCACGAGTAGGTCGATAATGTTCCGGCGGGTAAAAGAGATGGTAGGCAATGGGGCGTTGCCGAACCGAGGTGTTGAAACGCGAGACCCAGTACAATTAATTCATGGGAAACATATGGATGTTTAGATGAGGTTAGTGGCGCTAGCATGTAGTCATTGGTCGGCAGGCAGCGTCCCCCTGTCCGGTAGTCGAAACACATGACCCGGTTCCGATATTGCGACAGACGGCTTTGCCATCCTGGTAGATTGAATGGCGTCTCTAGTTGCACCACAAGCGTACGTTGGATGGAGGCGTCTACTCGAAGCGATGCAGAGTGGCTGCTAGAATATATTGAGCGTGTGGATTGCAGTATCGTGGCGGCATGGAAGGACTTGAAGAAAACCCGGGACGAAGATGCGAAACACTATGGACATGAAGCTTGTTTTCGTTAAATCCGATCGCGACCTTCTAGATGCGTGATAATGACATATGATACAGTGGGGTATGGAAACATGTACCTGTTGATCGAGCGATCGTCAACGGGTGAGCGGGAACGGTGAATGTGCTTGCCTGACAGCGAGCATGCAATGTGGGTCTCCCAGGTACGCCAATCTCAGGCGTTTCGTCTGCTCTCGACGAGGGCCAATTGCTTCTGCTCCTCTGCCTCGAACTCGCCGGCTTCGTAGTACAGATCCTCTTCGTCGATGTCGGCATAGCCGAAAATGCTGCGGTAAATACGTTCTCCAAGTCCCTTCTTCTGGGCCATGGCGAGTACCATGACAATGGGAAGGTGCCAGATGCTAGCCCAGAACAGACCTCTAGCAGTTCCTTTCTGTCCCTCAGCCTTCCAGAACTGCCAGGCTTTGAGTGCCATCCAGCCGTTGACGACGCTACTCGTGGCTACGTAGCTCCAGTCGGTTACGCCGCAGTATGACAGACCGATACAGACAGGAAACATCAGAACAGAGTATCGCAGTGCGACACGTCCATTCATCCCAGGGTTCACCCAGGCTGTCATGCGGTAGCCCGCGTTCTTGTACTCGTCGCGGATGGCCCAGCTCAACGCATTGAAGTGGGGGAACTGCCAGGCGTACAACAACGCAGCGCACAGCCACCCTCCAGCCGAACCCTCACCAAACAGCAGTTCTTCCCAAGTTCCGTCATGGGCGTACTGACTCGCTGCAGCCGTCCAACCCATGAGCGGCGGAATGCCTCCCACGATGGCGCCAACCCAAGTGTTCAGTATGTGCATGCGCTTCATGGGTGTGTACACGGCCGCATAAAGGGCAATGTTGGCGGCGCCAAGGAACGCTGTCGTGGGGTTGACGCCATAGTAGAGGGCGCCGGTACCAAGCACCCCGCACGCGACGGCGAAGATGATGGCGCCTCGTGGGCTGATAAGCTTCCGGACGAGAGGCCGATTGCGCGTACGACTCATCTTGGCATCGTGTGCGGGCTCCATGATCATGTTGAAGGCGTTTGCGGATGCCGAGCACAGCGCAGTGCCGGATGTGAGGAAGAAGAGTGTGAGGGTCGAGAGGGACGGAGTGGCTGTTGCTGCGGGGGCGAGCAGACCTGGTACGGGGTATAGCGAGTATGCGGCCGTTGCACTGAGGACGACGAGGAAGGAGAGGCGCGGTTTCGATAGCGAGAGGTATGTAGTCATCATGCGCTTGAGCGATTGCTGCGGGAGGCTCGAGGATATGTGTGCCAGCTTGGACGACGCATCGTGTGGTATTGGGTATGCCGTCTCTGAGTTTTCTAATGCCTGCTCTTTTGCTTTCTTCCGCCGCCTATGTGGTAACACTTCTTCTGTGCCAGTTGTGCCATCCTCCTTCGCCGCTTGCTGCCCGCCTGCGTTCGCCGATTTGATAGACAGAATCGAGCTCTGTAACTCTGGCCCCGACCTCCAGAATGTGTCCTTTAGTAGTGGGTTCGCCCGGAAGTAGTCCTTGCCGAAAGCAGTACCGCCTCGTCCGGCTACTATGGCGTCGTCTCTATATGACGGATTGAAAGAAAATGGTCTCCGGGACTGCAGCGGCGCTTTTGCGAGTCTGCGCCAACATCGCAGACATAGTGAATTCGCATCCCGCGCTGCAATTGGCCGCGGCAGTATTGGTCGAAAGCTCATGGCGGCATGGGGTTGAGCTCCAGCGGGCAGTCGACTTGAGAGGGATAACTTTTGGATTGCACCTGCCAAGAGCCGAGGCGCGCTAGCCACTCAGACATCCCGCATTTCAACTCCACACTCGTCCCGTCTCCTTCTCAGCCTCACCGCGTCTTGATAAGCCACAATCATCAGTCTTATTCGCGCATCTCACCGGATATCGCAAGACTGCAGAAAACTTGAGTCGTCTGTTCATTTGCAACCATCCGATCAGCCATCAGCCAGTCGGCGTGAAGATCCATCGAGCTGGAGGCAGTAGCGAACAGCTCAACTGCTGGAAAACGCAATGCCTCGGGCGCTTCATGGTATCATTACGCCAAAAAAAAAATATGTAGGCAGTGGTCAGCCTAGGGTTCCAGAATCAACTCAACTTTGAAGTAGTTCTGGGATCGGATCGGAGCTTCACACCAGTTTACATTTCAGGACTGTATGACATCGCTCATACCCATCCTAGCCGCATTGATGCCCCCGGTCCGTAGACGCAGTATGGCCCCCACATGTTCAGCTCGGAAGAGGCCAAATACCGCGTAGTCTGCATGGTTCCAGAAACCCATGGACGGTCGTCAGCCTGCAGCAAAGCGGCGAGGCTATGTAATTCGCTGAAGACGAGTTTCCTAGAGGCTGTGTAAGCCACAAGGCTACCTTCTCTGATGTCTTTTGCCAGCGCATCGCTCCTCGCATCCGCTGAACTGTCGTTCGCATCGTCTACTCTCAGATGGATCCTAATTCTGTCGTTGATTCGGCGTTTACCATCGGCGCAAGCGCAGCCCAGCTTTCGCTCGCTCTATTTGGAGTAGTTCAGACACTCAAAAATGCTCCCAATGAGATAGCGGAGATCGGTACGTACTCTACTTCTGTATATGGTGTAAACCGTACTCAAAAGAACTAGCGGATGAGATATCCTTACTCGCGGGTAGCTGGCAGACCCTCGGAGAGATTCTGGATGTCCATCGAAACTTGTGCAAGCCTGCATTACTCAACAACACTCACTCGATCATATCGCGATATGAGCAGGTTGCTGCAGAAATCCGTCTCCTCATCAATGAGCCTCAAAGTCTAGCGGGGCTCAAGTGGCCGCTAAAGAAACCCAAAGCAAAAGGTCTTCTGAAGAAGGTCGAAGGAATCAAGACTGCATTGATCCTAGAAATCAATATTGTTCGACTTGCTAGAGAAGAGGTTAATCGGTCGTAAGCTTGATCGATGATATCTTGTAGACTCTGCAGTCGCTCATGTCACTAGGTATCCCAACTCCGACTCGAGCGGTCAGCCCCAGGGCGCCCCAAGATTGAACCGGTTCCGTAGAATCGTCGAGAGTAGTGTCCAGGCGAACCGGCTCGTTGTAGAGAGCGCACAACAGGAAGATGAAAAACTCGAAGCTGATACACAACATCACACCTCGGCAGAACTAGACATATGGAAAAGTGGCTCTTCCGATACTGCGACATGGCTCTATCATCTTGTCTTTAGCCCCGATGAAGCGAGTTCCTCATCTCCGTTACCACAACCACGTCAGCTTCACCAAGCATTTGTGGCCGATGAAAATGCTGAAACGAACACGAAAAACTGTTACGTACAATCCTCCCAAGCTCCCATACCACCTAAGAGGCGACCTTCGGAGCCTGAAGACAAAGCCCTGATCTTATGGAGCAAACAAACTGAGCCAGGCTTAGTAGCGGATAGACTACTCTCCTCGTGGACCACGCTCTCATCAAGTCAGATTGGCCTCAGCTCGACTCGTCATCACGGCACCGAGGGTGCAGAGGATGATGAATGGAGGGAAAGCATCTTGAACATGGTAGAGGCGGAGGCGGAGAAGGACGACAACTCATCTTTTGGTGAGTGGGAACAAGAGAACGCTCCTGTTGGGTCAGATGACGAAGCATTCCAGAGTGCGGAAGAAGCCAGTACGATCGACACCAATGCACCCCCGTACAACTTCCGCAGCAATACCCAAAAGGCTCGTAAGAGGAGTGCAAAAACCGCTGATCGTTCTGATTCGTGGGCCTATACATACGGGTCGTCACCGGTTTACGGCAAACCCCCGGAGCCCCCCAGGCGAGATACTGGAGAGCCACATGTGTCATTCGGTACATCGCCTACCAGCCGTCCCCGCCGCAACAGATCCAAACAAAGAAGGCCTACCATGACTACCGTGAAACCACCTTTCTTAGAGGCCGATAGCAGGAGGTCTTCATCCCGAGTTCACACTATTCATAGTGATTCGATGGATTCAGCTCACAGTGCGCCCAGTCGCGATTATTTCGACAGTGACCATTACCGAGAGAGAGTCAGACCCGAGTTTTCCAATCCTTTCAGGCGTGGTCACATTCCGCCATCTGTCAGTTATGGGCACACTCCTCCGCCACGGCAGGGATTGTCACACGAGCAACCACCCCCCGAGTACTACCAAGTGCCACCAAGACAAGCATATGCATCCGACTCACACTTGCCATATCCGCGATCTCCTCCGAGTCCTCAACAGGTCGCCGCGCCTGTTCCGCCATCTCCAATACCTGCTCCACAGATGCCTGCTCCACCGTCGCCCGATCCACCGATACCTGATCCACCCGTGGAGATGCAACCCAAGACGTCTGAAAACGAGGCAAGAGAAGATGCGCTTCTCTCCAGGGTAGAGACACTGCTTCAGAAGCGCAACCAGGAACCTCGCGTTGTGTATGAAGACCCGCCGTTCTCGAGACTGGCGAAGGTATTGCAAGAGCGCGAAGTTCAAAGCGAACGGGAACGAGCCAATGCAGCAACTGAAGCGCGCATGAAGCAGATGCAGGATGCTCATGAAAAAGACGAGGAGAGAATGAAGCAACTCGAAAGCCTCATAGCAGCTCAATCGGCAGAGCAAAGGCGTATGGAATCTATGTGGGAAATGGAAAGAAGGGCTATCGAAGCAGAAGCTGCAAAGCAAGCTCAAAGCGTGAGGGATCTGGCAGCGAAAGAGATCGCGGCCGCGCAAATGGCCAAAGAAACAGCTCAAACAGCACTCAATGCTGAGAAGCTAGAAACCGAGAGAGAAGCGAGGAAGAGAGCCGATGCCATGTTCAAGGCCGAAAAAGAACGAACGGATGAATTCCACAAATTGCAACTGCAGCGTTACGAAGAGCTACTTCATGAGCTACGAGAGCAGCTGCTGAACTCAGAGCATGAAAGCGATCGGGCTATAAGACGTACCCAAATCGCGGAAGGCAATCGCACCGTGGATGTAACAGAATATGCGACAAGCAAACGAGCCCCGCTTTCGATATCGGCTTCTTCTTCATTTGTAGACAATTTCGCACACTTGGATATGAGGCCCAGTCGGACTAGCTATCACGATCGGCCCCAAAGAAGTTCCGGTCGCCACAGCTTTCGTAGCACAACAGCCTCATTGCATGCTTCGCGTGCTTCATTGGGGGGCACAGGCATTTCCGATGGTACTTCGAAATCTCAGCAGGTGATCATCTTCCCTGCAAAAGCCGACCGACGCTCCCAGAGGATGCACAAGCTGCAAAAATCGTTGACTAGATTTGGGATTGATTCTGATTTTGAAGATCCAGAAGACTTACATCAATTGCACACCAGTCAGCTGGTACAGTATGACTACGACAACACGATTGATCAGACTGTTAGAAGTACCATCTTCTGGGAGGCGTCTGCGCTCAATCTAGGAAGTGAGCTTCTGCTCACTATGAGGCAAGCTGGATGGAGACCATCCTACACTCGCATATCAGGTAAAGATCCGTCCCCGAAGTCACTTGTCATCGTATTGACATTGCCTAGAGAAAGGTCAAACTCACTATCTAGGAAGTCAACCGGTGCATACCTACTTCTTTGATCCCGACTACGAACCGCAGTTTTCTCCATCCGAGACCGCACCAGGCAAGGAATCGATCACTATCCAGAAAGCCCTCGTGGAAGAATATGCGCTGATCGAACTGGGCTTCAAATTCCATACCAACGACACGGGAGTCTATGTTCTCGATGGCAGGTTGACATATGTAAAGAATGCCGCTCACTATCAGTACGACGCTCACGCTAACGGTCCGTAGAATGATATCGAAACTCTGATCGAACGGTCATTCCTGATGCGAGAAAACAACCATCGACGACTACACCGCCAGCTACAGTGGCACTTTGACAAGGATCCGGAGGTACCCTTAAGTGCTTATCCGGCTACGTATGCGCCATCAGTGCACTCCGTACCGTCTGTGTACTCGGGCGAGAACTCCACTATCTGCGACGATACCGACACAGAGACGCGAGACAAAAGAAACCCAAGCTCAGCAGGTTCTGATGCCGATCAATCTGAGATTGGCGATGTCAGTAGATTCCTTGTCCCTCGATCTGCGGTGTCAAGAAGGTCAGCAGCGCTGTCTTCTGCGGCTTCACGGACTTCGAAATCCACTAATCCGTATCGGAAGTATATGAACGCGGCGGAGGATAGCGGGACCGAAAGTGTGCCCAGGTCATCTCGTTCTCCAAGTCACTTCGACTGAGGGCGTATGTGTAGATATCACGTTAGACGCACAAAGGAGTATATAGAAGAGTACCACTGTCTATACAAAAAGAGCGTGCTGCTCCTCACTGCTCTCGTGACTATGTAGCCTTCGGCTCTAACGCAGTTGCAATTATCGTGAATCCATCGTGTAAAAAGAGTCAAACACTGGAATCCGCGTCTATCCTGCATAGTTCGTAAAGTGTGTTCGCGTCGTGAATAGTTGCCCACCTGGAGTTCCGCTAGCCCATGACGCAATCGGCATCCCGAGAATCGGTATCATTCCGAAGCAACACCCAAAACTTCCAAGGTTCGTATCGCAGCATCACGCCTTCTACAAGCCACCTTGACACGTCTGCGCTCTAATTTTTTTGCGCATCCTGTACATGCGCTTCAAGCACTTCCTCGCTCTATCAGACCCACGTCTTTACACCCTCACCAACTTCCGCGTCCGCTCCCATTGGCGCACCATGGCCGCCGCCCCGCCCCCAGATCGCCCGATAAAGCTGCTGATGCTCCATGGCTACACGCAATCAGGATCACTATTCCAAGCCAAGACCGGCGCACTGCGCAAGACATTACAGAAAGCCTTCCCCAAAGGCATCGAACTCGTATATCCTACTGCGCCCATTCGTTTAACACCCGCCGACGAATCGTTCCTCGCGGGAAACACAAGTAAAGATGGCGAGGGTAAAGATACAAAGGATGGAGAGGAGCAGGAAATCGACGCATGGGCTTGGTGGAGGAGAAAAGGCACAGGAGAACCATACACATACGAAGGCATGGAGCAAGGGTTGGAGCGCATCGCAAGCGTGTTGAAAGAACAAGGTCCTTTTGACGGTGTCGTGGGATTCTCACAAGGTGGAGCAGCGGCAGCTATGGTCGCGAGTTTGCTCGAGCCAGGCCGTCGCGCCGCATTTGAGAAGCTGTATCCTGAGGGCGGTATGAGGTTCCCAGAGTCTTTCGAAGAGGACACCGGGTACATGGAGGGCACAATACATCCGCCACTCAAGTTTGCGGTCAGCTATAGCGGTTTCGCAGCCCGTGGAAAGAACCCTTATCACGCGTTCTATGAGCCTAAGATCAAGACACCGATGCTGCATTTCTTGGGTACGCAGGACGTCGTGGTTGAGGAGGCGCGGAGTCTGGCATTGGTCCAGGCTTGCGAGCACAGCGAGGAGAAGTACGTTGTGTATCACCCCGGGGGTCACTTTCTACCGAGCACGCAGAAAGCTAGTGTGAATGCGTTGATCGGGTTTATCAAGGAAGTTTTGCACGAACAGCAGGGTGGTGGAAAGAAGGAAGAGGAGAGTGTTGAGGATATGGATGTGCCGTTCTAATGTTGAAGGCGGACATATTCAGAGGTCTTGAGAGCGTTGATTTCTACACAGGAGCGAGGCGTTTAGGTAGACTCGCAATAGACAATAGACTAAAAACGGCCGCGAACGTGCAACTCTTAATGCCATGCACGACGCGGGGAGCGCTGTCACAAGACCAGGCGAATGCGCACGGGCCCTTCTACCCCATTGTTTGGGTTGGCGCCTTCCATGTTTACATGAGTGCTGTCATCCCGAACACCACCACCACACACCAAATCGCGACTCCACCATGGCGCAAGCAGGCAAAGAGAACATCGCCGACGGCCTAATCGCGAATGGCTCGTTCAAGGCGTCGACGCAGCCTCTGAAGAAAGCAGCATTATCACCAAAGAAAAAGACGCGTAGTAAGAGTATCGGCCCTGGAGGTCTGGGGGAATTGGAAGCGCCTCCGCTGAAGGAGAGTTTTGGAAACCGCAGAAAGGTATGCTTCATACACGCGATTGTACGAGTGAATGCTGACCAAATAGTCTGCGTTTATCCCCGCCGTCAAGTCCATTCTAGCCTCGAACGATGAAGATGAGAAGAAGCGGCGCGAAGCGCGCCGCAAGTCGCTGGGTACGTGTTTCGGGCGTGAAATCGACCCGTAGGCTTGACTAACCATTGTTTAGCAAGGCGACGCGTGTCTTTCGCCCCGGAAGCCACTCTACACACATGGGACGTAGTCGAGTACATGCGCGATGCGACCACCTCGTCCGCCTCATCGGAGGCCACACGCAGAGCCTCGAACGTCTCACAAGCATCCACACCGGCATCGCCTGCCCCTCCATCGGACCCCGCCGAGCCACCGTCTACACCACCAGAACAAGCCGAAGAGCCTCAACCAGAGCCTAGTTCGTCACCTGAGAGCCAACGCGCGCAACATCAAAAGAAGAACCGCCGGAGTTCGGGCATACCGCCAATGAACTTCAACAACCCCGACGATGTTTACTCCTCAAGCCCGCTAAGCGGGGACAATGCTTCGCCTGGTGGAAACGATGACGGGAGCAGCGACTCTGAGGATATGGATATCGACGATGCCACAGAAAGTCTAGGAGCTTCACCTGATGTTGAGGACTCATCGCAGAGCAGCGCTCGACTGGATGCTGCGCTACGCGAGGCTGCAAACTTGGCTGGCACTCAGAAGCTGGATTTTGACGACGATGACGGAGACATGAGCATGGAGATCGCCCAAGACGAAGTCACTGCATCTTTCAAGCCCTGGGCAAAGAAGAGCTTCGTCGCACAATATGACAAGGAGAATGCAAGCCCTCTTTTCTCCCCAGCACGCACCGTAGCCGGCGAGGACGACGACATGAGTATGGACATCACGCGCGCAGTTGGCCGCATCGTACCCCCACCACCACAACAAAAGCAGCCGGAGCAGCAGCAACAACAACGCTCAGACGCAGCGAGCTCTGACGTCGACGACGATGACATGACCATGGACCTTACTATGCCACTTGGAAGCATACAGGCGATGGCGGCATCTTACAAACCAGCAAACAGGAGGAAGAGTCTTAAGAGGAGGGTCTCATTGCTCGATGAAAACCAAGGCAGCCCTGCAAAGCGCACTGCAAGCCGGCGTACCAGTTTGCGACAGCGTCGACAATCCGAAGAGCACGGCGAAGAAGACGCGACCATGGACCTCACAATGGCGATTGGAGCGATTAAGAAAGCGCCGCAGCCGGAGCCAGCTAGACGTGCTAGTGTTGGAAGCGTCGTTGATGATGCGACGATGGACTTCACGCTGGCAGTTGGCAGCATTAAGAATGGCAAACAACAAGTACAGGAAGATCAGGAGGATGAGGTCGAAGATGAAGACCTTTCCATGGAGTTCACCAAGATTGTTGGACCTGGTATTAGGCGTGCCGGCAGCTCAACAACGACACCACAAACACCCGTAGACGACACACCCGCTTCAGCAACCAAAACACCGACACCGCGAAAGTCTCCGAAGAAGTCGCCTGAACGAAGAAGGAGCTCCATTCTGAGGACCGAGGCTGAATCAGCACCTCAGGTCCTGCAAGACATCACTCCCAGTACGACAGGCGATGTGGCATATCCCACCCTTGACCCTGGTACGCCAGAGATCGTCAGGCAGAAGGATATTGAGGAGGTCGAGCCTTCGCCGTTTGTGCGCCGGACTCCGCTGAGCGCGACCAAAGAGAAGGAAGCTGTTGCGACTCCTTCAAACCCTACGCCGCAGAGGACACCCATGATGATTCCCGAGGACCCGATTGCAGCTACAATACTTGACCGACGACGTTCGTCACTGTCTGCAGTACAGTTCAGTCCTCTGAATGCACCACGTCAGGAGCCTACACTCAAGAGCACCGCGCTTTTGAGCAACAGCATCAAGCTGTTATCCACCCCACGAAAACAGACATTAATGTCACCAGTGAAGAAGGGGATGACGCCGAAGAAGTCACAGACTCCTCAAAAGCAGCCAACGCCGAAGCAGCCGACACCGACACCCAAGAAGGCGAATCTCAGGCAAAGCATGAGCCCAATGAAGCGCGTCGCTTTTGGTGAAGAGCCAGAGGAGGAAAACAACGACGAGGCTGGTGTGGCAGAAGATATGTCGGATGTTGAGCGAATCTCGTTACAAGACTTCCTCGATATGACCAAGATCCGCTTCATGGATCTTAGTACGACCAAGCGACGTCATACTGCTGCTCCTTCCGCTTTCCACGATGTGGAAGTAGAGGAAAAGGAGGAATCGCTAGATCGTTACGTTGTGGCTGGAGCGTGCACCTTGCCTGAGTACGAGCTGTACCAGCATGCATGCCACGAGATGAAGAAGTACATCTCGGACGGTCGCCACTTCGTCCGTACAATGGAGGCCAACGTACTAGAAGAGAACCCACTGCTCTTCAGCGAGTACCTCACTGCACCCCCGGACCAGCGCGCTGTCATGGACAACCAGTTCAAGAACCTCAAGACCAACGCGCGCCTCGAGGCTCGTGGAGAGTGGTATACATGGCGAAGCACGCTGCTGCACGATCTCAAAGCTGGTCTCCTCCACACCATGGACGGTTTCAACCACGACGAATCCACACTAATTAAACAGGAGCGCCTTCTTGACGAGACATTGCCTCCTCTAGTCGAGAAGAAGGAACGTCTGTCCACTGAATGTAAGCAACTACAGCAGCGTCATGATGAACTCAACAGCTGTGACCGGGAAGAGCTTGAGCAGACGAGAGAGAAGCTTACTGCTACCGATGCCGAGTTGGAAGAGAAGAAGTTGCTTCTTGCCCAGCTGCAACAAGAGCTTGTCGACAAGGAGACACGCATCGAGGCAGCTAAAGACCGCAAAGTCGAATGCATCCAAGAGATCAAAGCAGCGGAACGTGTACGAGAAGAGTGCCGCGGCTGGTCTACAAGCGAAGTCAGCAGTCTGAGAGGTATGTAATGCTCATGATATGCACGAGAACTCGACTAACAGCACACTAGCCAAACTCACTGCCCTTGAGCAAGCCCACGGATGGAGCATAACGTCCGCTTCCTCGAACAGCATCACAATGACACACATGAACGACCTCGAACTTTACTTCGTACCTTCTGCCTTCGCCACCGGCTCCAACACACCCAACGGATCCATCTCGCTTGCCTACATCGGTGATTCAGCAACACCACATCCTCGTGCGTTAACAACAAGCAAGCGCTTCTTCCTCCAACTTATCCGCGCACATCTTCATGGTATCCCGCAGGCGCAGACCCGCATCTCCTCACTTCTTTCGCTTGTCAAGAATGGCTGGGCCACCGCTGTTGCAGTCGCAGAGGGTGTTCGCTGGCTGGAACATAGCTACATCACTGAAGAGTTCATTCTTTCAGATGAGCGCATGGCAATCTCTGCGAACATGCTATTGCCGACTCTTCAAACAAAGGTCAAGGCTACCTTTGAAGTCGGTGTTAGTCTAGGCAAGGAGGGCATCGAGACCGACGTCAATATGAGAGCGGTGGTTGTCTACGGTGAGAAATACGGCGAGGAGAAGATGGGCGCGTTCTTGCGCGACTTCTGTGGGAACGAGATCAAAGAAGAAAGGGAAATGTCTGTCTGGGCGGACGGGATGATGGATCTTGCTGCACGGTTGAAGAAGACCGGAAGGAAGGGCGAGAGGAAGTAGGCGTGAAGCGTGCCTTGTATGGTTGGCATTACGATGTTACGACTTAGCTTTATGGGTTACGACGGCGTTGATAGTAGACAGCTTGAGCGTCACCTGGGCAATACATTCTTCAATAATCTTCAACGTTTGTTTCTTTGACATGATGCCGTTCAGATGTCGCGACTTCCACCATGCCACATCCGCTCTAGTCACATCAGACGGAGAAACCCATGATCGACGTCACACGGAACATCTCCAGAGTTGAGCCTAGCCCATTTTCTCAGCAAAGGCTCGGCGCAAAATACACCGAATGTCGCGATTCATGGACGACTGTTGTTGACATTCATTCCATGCTATCCTGGTTTTAGCCGTCCCCGCAATCCGGGCGCCGGGAATGAGTTGCTGTAATTTGCGGAGAAGGGGCTAATATGGCATTAGACTAGTATCTCCAATTCTGTATATGTAGACACGACCGCACCTGTCAGATCATGAGTTTCGTTAAAAGACACTGGTTGCGATGTTACTGTCCGTCGCTTCTGTGATCCTCGCCTTCGTGGCAAGCGGTACACCCGTTTCTGCATCACCAACCCAGTATCCCCATCAAAATGCATCTAACCCCATCGTCCATCTCGACTATGGTACCTTCCGCGGCGCATCATCTTCCCAGTACAACCTCACACACTACCGGAAAATCCCCTTTGCAGCATCAACAGCTGGCGAAAACCGATTCCGCGCACCCCAACCACCGCGCCACATCACCAATGGCACATACGACACCGACCAAGCCTTCGACATGTGCCCTCAGCGCACCGTAAACGGCTCAGAAGACTGCCTCTACCTCGGCCTCTACTCACGTCCCTGGACAAAAAAGCAGGA